GCGTTCTTGCTCCTGCCTTTCTGCTTCCTGCTGCTCCTGTTCCAACCGCTCTTGCTCTAGCCTCTCTTGCGCCTCAGTGTTTTGTTCTGCATGCACTTCGCCGGAGGAGTCCTTTTTTTCCTGCACTGTGGCTTCAGTATCAGGTGGACCTGCTTCTTCTTCGCCATCCTTGGTCCTTAGGGTTGTGTAAAGGGCAGGCATGGTGATCCAAACTCAGCACATTAGGAGTTGCCTAGTGGACACCCTCAAATGCAAATCAACGCGCGGCCTTCTGTGTGGAGGGGAACACACGCTTCAGGCAACCTTTGTCTCATCTTCACCACCGCACAACCAAGCGAAATAGGCACCGCGGCACAGATGTCATGCACCACGGTACCGACTTTCCAAGCTGCTTAGCCAAGCCACCCTCCAGAAGCTTCTCCAGGCTCGGCCAAGGCATCTCCACGGTCGGCCAAGGCTTCGTCGAAGGAACGCTCCACCTTCTCGCGCAAGGTGTGGAGGCCCTCCTGGGCATGCTTAGGTCGATACCGGGGAACCGATGGGCTTTGGAAAGGCCATGCAAAGCTACAAGGCCATACCAATCTCATTGAGGGTATTACTTAGGTAGTACTACCCTTTACTGCAAGCTACTAGGTTGCCATGGGTGGATTGCGCCTAAAATTTAGATGTTGGTTGTGTTCCAAAGAGCGAAGTAGAAAGGGTGCGCTATGTGCGCTCATCATGCACCACCTACGCAGACTCCAAAGTTGAAGCTGAAGAGAGGAGTCCATCTGGAAGTTGTCTATATAGACCAACGTCTTGAGTGTCTAAGTGCTGACAGACAGGCAGCCGAGCTTTGTTTTGGGTGAAGACGTCAAAAACATTGGGGGATCCTTGGCAAATAGGGCTAAATCTCCCAGAAAGGAACCGGAGATGATCCACGGCCCTTTCTTCTGGAGTTCGTGCCATTACCCTTCAAGATCCTTCAAGCCTTCAAGGAAACAACATTTTCATGTCTGTCAAAAGCCTGCGCTTTGTTTGATGTCTCACATTGTGACATCGCCCTTCCCATAAACGTGTGTAACGCCTGACTGAGGTTGGCACTCAAGTCAAATCTGCCCCGCATCTCGCATGGCTTTTTCCAGGCCATGAGCAAGAAGCTACTAGGGGCTCCTGGCATCACTACTAGGAGCAAAGAAGCTACTAGGGGCTCCTGGCCTTACCTACTAGGAGCAAGGACTCTACTAGGGTCAGTGCACTGCAGCGCCGTCGCATCGCACGACGTCGCGGCGGCCAGTTCGCCGCGGCACGGCGGCAGTCTGCAGCGACTGCAGCGCCGTCGCACCGCCCAGTGACCGCGCAGCATTGAAGGCGCCGCCAAAGAGGCCTCCCAGTGAGGTCGTGGGCTCTGCCTGGAGTGACCGTCTATGGGCTCGTTCGCCCCATCTGCGGTCCGACGATGCGGTTGGGTGGCTTTCAGACTTGTTTCTAATAGCTTCTTGTTCCTACTAGTAAGGCACTTGTTACTAGTAGCGATGCACTTGTTTCTAATAGCAAACATTGTTACTACTAGTAAGGCACTTGGTTGGGTGGCTTTCAGACGGGGGAAAATAGGAATCCGGTGCTTTCCGCGGTGTTAGAAGCTTGTGCTTGTGACATCTGTTATAACGACGAAGCGGGGCTCACGATTTTGATGATGGTTCAGAGCTCTAAAATTTTCGAAAAAGTGTGTTACTTCGGATCTTCTGTTGTTGCGCTTTGGAAGGTTAGCTGCTTGCACACTTCGCCCAGGCTGGTGAGGAGTACCAAGGTCCGATCTCCAGCAGAATGCGGTGTCTTCCGGTCTTTCCTTCAACTTCGACATGCTCTTGCCGGACGTTTGGAACACTCATTAGGGAAAACACCTTGCCTGTCACTGGATGTGAGGTTGTATAACAACCCGCCAACTACACTTAGAATCTATGGATCTATCATTGTGGGGAGGCCAACTGTTCCTCTTGTTCTCCGTGCGACCTTGGGCTCATCTTCCAGCCACGCTGGATCAGGCTCCACACCATACTTTTCGCAAATGCCTCAGGAACAAATAAGGTCAGGGGACCAAGAAGCATGGCAATACCACCGAAAGGAATTACCCAGCTAGACCACAATGGGAAAGCAGCCGCACTCCCTGAAACAATCACGGAAGTGGATGGCATGACCCCTGGAAAGACTATTGTCCTTCACCAACAGGGCGTGGTTTGTTCACTTCCATGTTTGGAGGGAGGGAACCCAAAAGGGACTGGTAGGGCTACCTGGTAGGGCAACAGCTGGAGCATCCCAGATCTTCAAGTCGAAGACATCGGTCGAGTCGATGGGTCGAGTGTCTCACCGGAGAACGAACCGAAAGCCGCTGACTCAGTTTGGAGTTGCGCATCCCAAGAGGAGATCCAGAGACAGGGTTCAAAAAGAGCTAAACAAAGGTTCCATTCGTCCGATTTCGTCCACAATTCTACTGAGCTTGCGCCACCAAACGCTGTTCCTACTTCTGGCAGAGCCAGTGCAAAGAACGTGCTTTCCATCTAAAATTGCCAGCGAGCAGCTCTTGTACAAAGTGCTTTCTTTGCCCTTGAACTTCTGTAAGAGCTCATCCACGTGAGAGAGCTTGGCAGGGTTATGCGTCTCCTTGGTGCAGTCGACACCGGCGTAAGCGAGAGGGCAAGGACTTACGATTATCCCCCCAGAGCAAGGGAGGAAGACATGGGGAACACTGGTGGTATTCACGGAGGTGCCAGACTTCAGATCTCAGCCGAATTCAGCAAAACAGCCAGACTTTTCACCCAAACATCCTGCAGAAACAGGATTTGTCCAATCCCGGAAGCATCCAGACAAATTCTCCGACTAGGAAGAAGTGCATCGCTACTAGGAACAAGTGCCTTACTAGTAGTAACAAGAAGCTATTAGAAACAAGAAGCCACTAGAAACAAGAAAAGCGCCTCAGTTCCCAGGATTCCTAGATGCCACACCACTGGTGTTCAGCTCAGTGGCGTAGATCGCCACAATCGCCGCTCGGATGGGCGGAGCCGATGCAGCTCGGATGGGCTCGTCTGGGCTCGGATGAGCCGGTGTTGGCGCTGCCTTGGGAGCAGCCGGTCATTCGCATCTGCGATGGTGAGGGTCGTGGGGGTGGAATGTCTTGAGCCTGGCAGATAGCCATGCATCATGCAGATTCTGCAGCCAAAAGTCCACTTCCACACCATATTTCTTGCAAACAGCCTGGCGCCGTCTGCCATCCAGCTCTTCGTCGGATTTCTGCACTAGAGGTTTGAAGGAGAATGGATGACACGTCTTCCATGGGCTGCACAGGTTTTTTCGATACCAACCCTTGTGTGTTGGGCACCAAGATGTCTCCAAGCATGGCGGACAAGGAGGGATTGCATCTAGGGTACTTCAGCACTGCCTTGCCATCTGAGCAATCGAAGATGGGAAGAAAGGTTTGACAATCCCATTGGTGGCGGAGCACCTTGTTGTGTCAAGTACTCATCCCTTCACTGCGATTCTTCCATGCAGCGGGCTGACATTTTCAATAGGGATCACATGTTCGTCAAGCATCAGTCAAGCATAAATCCACCATTCAATCAGTGGCCACCTCCAATGCCATGTACAGTACCACTCCAAAGGGGCTACTAGGAACAAAGGACGCTACTAGGAACAAGTGCCACGCTAGTAGTAACAGGTGCCTTACTAGTAGTAACAAGAAGCTACTAGGGGCAAAGGACGCTACTAGGGGCTCCTGGCCTTACTACTAGGAGCAAGGACGCTACGAACGGGGCTCCTGGCATCGCTACTAGTAACAAGAAGCTACGAACGGGGCTCCTGGACTATCTTCTAATGCTTGTGTCAGTTCATCCTCATTACTAATATTGAAGCGGGTTGATGGTAGGGCATATACAAATTCCTGACTTCCTAATTCATTTTCTCCATCATCATGTTCAGGTTTTTCAATTAATCCTTCCGTTCTTACGTTAAGTGTCATGCTTCTATTATTTCTTTAAAATATGATAGTCTTTGTTTTTGGTGCGCAATCATTTCTAATCCCCTTTCTCCTTGAAAGTGTTTCTTTTTTAAAACTATTGAATTAGCGTATCTTCTAAATGCTGATTGAATATCTCTGACCCTAAATCTTCTTACGGCGTGTTTGGTTATTAATTGCCTAACCCTTTCTCAATTTACGACGGATTTGCCTTTTTCATAGCATAACTTCGGTATTCATTAGTGTTCTTTACTGACAATAATGTCTTTGTTAAACATTTGATATGGGTTTGTCTTTGTTGTATCTGAATTTCTTATCATCTATTATTATTGACTTTAATTCTCTTTTTTTGGTATTTCTTCTTTATTAGTTTTCAACAGATAGTACATATTCTTTTCATCATATAATTAAATATATATATATATTTAGTTAGTTAATTTATCTTTAAGTAGATTTTAAAGATTTCTTTAAATTGAATTATATACTTAAATAATAGTTATTTAAGTATATTAGTAGGATGGATTGTATGAAGGATTTACCTGTTGATGTGTTGAGTAAAATTGTTTATAGAATTGGATAACCTGAATGTGTGAAAATAAAGCATAGTTAAGCATTGAAGAGAATACAAAACAAATATAAAATATCAAGACTTGGTCCGAAAATAGACAGAACGATAAGACAAAGAAACAACATGTATATAATTGAGTATTGTATTATGAGAGAGGGAGAGCCATTTAGTTCGAAAAGTATAGGAAACATCATAACAGAAGAAACAGAAGAATTACTATCTTTGATTTATGAAGAAGTAGAAGATAATTGAAATTGTAGAGTTTAAACTTGATATTGAAGTCCAAATAGTAGCAAAACTCTGAGATAAAGAATATGGAGACAATGAATTGAGTTATAGAGAAGTTTACTTCATGAATGACTTTGACTAATATGTAGATGAAGATAATATAGACGATGTATTGAATAAAGCAAATGAATAAATAAATACAAACATAGAAGAAGACCAAGATAACGATAGTATAATAGGAATACACGCATGTCATTTTAAACTAACAATTATTGAATATATTTACTACCAACATATTTCAAACAACATCTATTTATTAGAATTATGGATTTGTAAGGTCGGATTGTTAAAGGTTCAGGATTTATCTTTATTGTTGCCTGCCGTTTTGTCTTATATATTGTTCTTTGCTTGGTTTGTTTTTTTGTTGTTATAGGAATTCTTGGAAAAGACATTTAAGAAAATATACATATTTATATGTAATGGATAAATTTTGTAGATACTGTGTTAAAGATTTACCAATTGATAATTTTGAAGATAGATTGAAGACTTGTAAGAAATGCTTGGAATACAAGAGAAATAACTATGACAAACATAAAGATAATGTGAATGAAACACGAAGAACTAAATATAAAGAACATGAAGACCATAGAAAACAGAAACAGGAACAAATACAAAACTATCGTGATAAAGTTGCCTTTTGTAATGCATGCAATTCATCAATGAAGGCACAATGGTATTCAAGACATTTAAAAACAGAGAAGCATAGAAGGAAAACGGTTGATGGATAGGATTTTGTAAAATGAATAAGGTAATAATGCTTTTGACTGCTATGATATTGACACATTGAATGAGGTAGTTGTGTTTTGATATTGTTGCGAAAAAATGAAGCAGCACATCAGCAGCACCTCCGGTCCAACCGAGCACCATCGACCGATGCCTGGTGAAAGGACTCCAACTTCTCTTCGCAATGGGCCTTGAAGGCGCCGAAGTCCTCCACCTTCTCCGCTTGCTCCCGATACCTTCCATAGCGCTTATTGCTTTCCTTCTCTCCGGAAAAACAGCTGCCCAGGCCAGAGATGGAAGAGGACGGTTTTCTCCGGAAGAGCTACGCTGGGTGGATTTTGTTGTGAGGGTGGATAAGTGTAGGTTCTGTACACTATTGTTGTTGCCCCATGTGAAGCTGATGGTTTTGATTTTGGATGATTGATGATTGTAGATGACATTTGCCCGCGGTATCTGATCGAACCTCATCTCTCACTTCCCTGTGTCGGATTCAGCTCCTCTTCCGGTCCATCGGTTGGGCGCCGGGGCAGTGACCCATCTGTGTTGCGGGCCGCCGGGGGTTTTCGCTTTCTACGATGTCACAAGTCCCAAGTCCAACGACTGCCACCAGCCATTCAACGCTGGAAATAACTCTTTGGAGCCGAGGGTCCTATCGATGAGTTTCTGGATGTCAGACACTCTCTCTGGATTGTGCTGCCGGTAAATGTCCTCCAGCACGTGGTGGTAATGCTGCAGCAAGGCAGCCAAGTCCTCAGCAAAACCGCCAGTTCTGTTTGCAACATCAACGCTAGGTAACTCATCACATCAACCTCTGCAACCACACGTGACAATGGCTACATTTTCTGGTCGAATAGTTTCTACTTCCTGGATTGGACGCCTAGGTTGCATGGGTCATTGGCCATCTCCAATACCCCCCAAAATGCCTGGAATGCAATCTTGTCTTGGATGCACTTAGTGCACCGTGAAAACTTAACTTCAATTGCCAAAGTGCACCTGGGTCATTGCAAAGCTTACCTCACGCCATCTCAGACCTAAAATTAGCACGGTTGCATCTGTCAGCACTCAGCCAGTCAAGGCACTCGAACAAATCTCAACTCAAGAATTGGGAATGGGTCCAAACCTGGAGCCCTGGTCCACTATGTAACCATGTAGCGAACGACCTTCCAGGTTTTGACCCACAGCCTGACCCACACCATGTATCATGTACCTTGACCTTCCACCGCTTTGAGTGACAGCACTGCGCTTGGAGACCCTTGCAGCCCAGGTGCGGTCTGAAGCTTGTCGTCAGGGCTATCAGGCTCAGGCTCCTGCGATCCAAAGCATTCAAAGGAACTTCCAATAAGAAGACGAGAGAACACACACCGTGAAAAAGCAAAGCCTTATGTGCCCAATTCGCCAGGTTAGATGTCTTGCCAGGATCTTTCTACAAACGCCTCCAACATGGTTCATGACAGCCGGTCTATGACGCGTTTTGCGCGGCGCGTCGTGACAGCGCAACGTTGCGGGTGGTGCAGTCCGTGGTGAGCGCATGGCTGGCTTCAGCCAAGAGAGCTTGGCCGAAGTTCATGAGAGATCCCCAGCCCTTGGTCAACAGCAGAATCCAAGTCAATGAGACTTGCCCAGTGCTAACTTGCCCAGGGAGGGAGTGCGCCATGGTTCTGGCGGTGCTTGCACGTATGGTGACGACATGAAGGGAGCAAGCCAGGGAAATTCACCAACGTCGCGCGGCGCGACAAACCATCCTGGATCAGTAGAGTCACTCTAAGATGGTTGTGGGTTAAGGGCCAAGCAGCCAAACAGCTTCGAAAAATGAGCAAACCCAGGAATGGAATGATGGTAACCATGTATGAAGTGAGTCCATCAGTCACAATCCATCCGTGATGGATGCAACATGATGGCGCCATCAGTCGTTCGGCGCTTTGACCACGACTATTGTGGCCAAGACAGCATTCCCAAGCAACTGTTCTTGATAAATGGAACAGCCGCCGAAAACAGCAATCCCTACATTTTCTCTAATATAAATTTATATATAATATCAATAGAAACAGTAAGCTACTAGGAACAAGTACCTCACTTCTAGTAACAAGTGCCTTACTAGTAACAAGAAGCTAGTAGAAACAAGTGCCACGCTAGTAGTAACAAGTGCCTTACTACTAGTAACAAGAAGCTATTACGCATTAGGACGGGTCTTGTGGACCTCAAAGGCGCATTCTCGTCGAGCCACGGATGGCTTGGAAGTGGCGCTCTTCTCAGCATCCTTGGGCTTTGTCACATCCTCGGCCTGAGCCGCTGACATGCGGAAAGTGAGCACCACTGAGGACCACAGTGGACGCCAAAACGGTAAGACATGATACCAGCTTGTGACTCCTTTGCCAATTTATTGAAACATACCAAATTCATACTTGAGACAAACATGTCCTGAACTGGATCACCTTTCCATGCCCCCAAAAGGGCATGACATCATCTAAGACCTAAGTCTTCATCCTTCCCACCTGCACAACCATGCCACTTGATCCCCTGCGCTCAAATCCACGCCTCCGGCGTCTCATCCTTCAACTCTGATGGCGGATCATCCGCCTTCAGTCGACGTGATCGAGTCGACTCTTTGAGCTCTCAGTTGAAGAAGGGGGTCCCAAAAAGCTACTAGTAGCAAGGGCAACGCTACTAGTAGCAAGTGCATTAGCTAGGGCATTACTACTAGTAGCAAGAAGCTACTGGTAAATAACCTCCAAAAGGAATGCCCCCCTCTCCACCCTAGTTGACTGTCATCAAAACCCCCCAAGAGTCACGGTGCCTCGGCGAAGTCGATCTCCTGGCAGCCAGATGAGCCACGTTCTACGGAACGAGGGGATTTCAAGAGACAAAAGACATCAAGAGACCCCTAGGCCTAGGAGCGGCATCGCTACGAACGGGGCCTCCTGACCTTACTACGAACGGAGCGATCAGACGCTACGAACGGAGTTGGATGAAAGTACACTAGGAGTTGTGGGAGAGAAGGTGCGAGACACTTTGTCACTACCTCCGGGCACAGGCAGCTCCAAGAAATCGCCGCGCCTCAAAGTCACCCCAGCCATCTGTCTCATCTTCCATGGCTGAAAGGGCAAGCTCTGCATTGGAAGTCGGCCCTCTACGACGGCACCAAACGGGCTTCTAGAAAAAGATTGGCATCCAGCTCCCAACACTTGCTCCAAGGATTGGTGAGGAAGGGGTGGCAAACCTGCCCTGCATGGTCGGATGGACTCCCAACACAAACACATGTCGACGAACCGTGACAAACACGAAGAGGCAAACGGTCGGAGAGGTTTGGGAAGACAGGTCTTGCAACAACACATCGCTCGCTGTCAGGTTGGAGCACCGGTCGGAAACGACCGAGGAGTTAGGCCTCTGCGGCAAAGACTTCACTTGTTTCACCCAGTTTCACCTTCTCCCAGCTGGGGAGGTAGTCCGGTGTCACCAAGGTAGTCATCCTACTTCATGCGGTCGGTGTGGCCTTCACCTTGTCGTGATTTTCTTCTCAGGACTGGAGTTAGGTCGGATGTCTGATCCATGTGGAGTCTGTGATGGGCAGATTCCTGTGAGGTATGCCAGGATCGCCGATCAGCTTGAACCAAGGGACGAGTTCAACCGGGAACGCCATCCAACCAGTCAACAACACCAATGACATGGATGGCAAGTCACACGCTTGATTTGCCATGACTCCAAATGCAGTAAGCACCAAAATAATTTCATGCCAAACCCATGGCAACATGCAGTTGGAACTCAGCAATGCAAAACAAATCCATCCAACTCCATTCTCTTTGGAGGGTTCTTCTTTCGCACTCTAGGCCCTAGGCATCCCTAGGCTCTCTGGCTTTCCTCACTTCCTCATCCCTACCCCACAGAGAAGAACGCTGGAATCGGCCCAGCTTGCTCTGTGAAACAATGCGAACATTCAACAGTGGTTGACCTCCATCAGACCTATCCGGCTCGAAGCATGTCGCTCGAACCTCGGCAAACGTGACGAACCTCGGCAATTCACCGAGTTGACCGTTGACTCCAGTTGACTCTTTGCCTTGTCCTGCCTTAGCACGTTTGCTCCAACTGGTTTCCCAAATCCGTATAGGTCTCGGGTCGCCTCAGCCCTGCACCGTGTCCCGTTTCCCTTCGGCTCCGCGGCGACACAACGAGCCACAACGACGTGACGGTGACTGAGCTGCTGCACTGGTCTTCGCCTCCCGGAAAGCCTCAGAGAAAGGGAGCGGAGAGCGAACGCCGCGGCAGCTGCCTTTTTCACCTAGAAAGTTGCCATAATCTTGATGTATCTGAATGTCCTTAGTTGGACCCTTCAAGGCTCTTGCTGACAAGTCATCGTCCTTTAAAGATCCCTAGATCCTAATGATCCTAATATCAAACAATTGGCCTCATCCTGATTGACTCGCTGACGTACCAAGTCCTGTCTGCCCACCGGTGGACGTCACTCCTAAAAGAAAACGAAAAGCAAACCCGATCATCTACCTCAAGGATGTCTCAAACAAGGGAGCTTTACCCAAACTGATCCCAACTGAAGTTTCGCCACCCACCCCAGTGCCTGCATCGCAAAGCTGCGAGAGGCCTGATCTGAGAAGAGGATCGAGGAAGCGCAGAGGAACCGTCATCGGCACGCACGAAGCAAACACACCGCTTAGAGGCGAATTCGCAGAAAAAGGTGCGCGAAGCAAACACAAGAAGCTAGTAGGAACAAGTGCCACGCTAGTAGGAACAAGTGCCTTACTAGTAGTAACAAGAAGCTAGTAGGAACAAGTGC